ATTCCTTGGTTATTTATAGGTCTTGAAATTTTAATTTTAGCAAATGCAACTTTTTTTAGTTGGGATTTTGGGGGGGGGGGGGTCAGAACAGCAGCGAGGAAATGTGAGAGGATTTCTATTACACTGCTTATTTGCTATGACGGCCAGGTGCCTTCAGATCAGGTGAACTGAGAAACACTGATGTTCCGAGCAAGCTTTCTGTCTGGCATCTCTGCCAGATCATATAAAGTCTGCACGATGCCTGCATAAAACAGCATGCAAATTCAGGGCAGGATATCTGACCAAAAAGGAAAATATATGATCTATATTGTGCCCATGTCAGATGCAGACAATCATTCACTACAGCATGGAAGTTTGATCAAAATGTAGTCAGGATAGCTGTATTTATCACAAGTGCAAAACTATTCAGACTTCGGTATAATCCCAGCACTTGTTCAATGTGCGCATACGTTTCACGGAATGCAAGTGTATATCCCTCTAACTGAAAAAATGCCATTCCCTCATCATCAAGAGCAAAATTATGTTAAAGACATTGCAGGTGGCGGGGCGGGGGTGGGGGAGCAGCGCACACAAATATCTTCAAAAAGACTTAAAATACTAATGCAATGCCTGTAAATGACGATGTCCATAAGTATCACACCACTGGATATATTCCATGGAAACATTGCATGTCCCCTACAAACAAAATATTTTAAAAAATAATAAACCATGAGATTTGAGATTCTACTATACATCAGGCCTGGAATTTCTCATCTGTAATGCACTGACTATTGGTTGTCCTGAGAGTCAGGCTAGATACAAGCAGTTTCAAAGGATGAGCAAAGGACAGAAAAAAAACCCAACAAAAAAACCCCACCTTCGCGTTTCAGGATACTATGGGGGAAGAGAAAGAATACCTTGCTTCAGAAGTGCTTTTGCAGTGGTTTGACAAAGTGCCTGTTTGTGAATACTAACAACAATAATTTACAAAATCTTCTTGTAGAAAAAAAAAATCAGGTGAGATAATACCAGTAGAAAAATCAATGTCATTTGATCACTGCCATATTTTCAAAGCATTGCCCAGATACTAATTAATCGCTACAATTTCTTCGTTTGGTAGGTGACTTGTTATCTTTCTTTCATGGAAAAGGTTACAGGAACTCAAGATAAGGGGTACATCTAAATGTTCAAAAGCGCACAGTGAGTTTGTTCCAGAATTATCAAAAGAATTTCCAGGCTCTTCTCAGACCAATAGCCCATGTTCCTCTCCTCTCCCTCATAAAAAGCTTATCTAACCATATATATACAGAGAGAGAGAGTGAGAAACACAATAATTCAATAGGGACAAAAAAAAAAAACCACAACAAACACAACCCTTATAATATCAGTATAAATATGGTCTGTAGTATTTCAGTTACTTTAACTGTGGAAGTACTAAGAGACTTCTCCACTAAAAACCAAAGCAGAGCAAAACTGTGAAAGTGAAGTATGAAAATGCTAGGGCTAAGGCTGAGTAGAGAGATGGAAGGACTAACATTAAATAAATAAATGCAACAGGCCTGCCTGCCTGATCACTTTAAAGCAGCTCCCAACAGACTGAGGCAGAGAAGAGCTCCTGTGCAAGGGGTTGGAAATAAGAATTGATGGTAGAACAATTTCTTTACAACCCTTTAGAGACTGAAGAGCCAAAACAGAAGGGAAATGAGATCTAGGCCACTTGCAAGATGCACCAATTTAATGGAATGCACAAGATGGCCCAAAATTGAGCCCTAGATAAAATTCCAAGTTGCCTTCCCCATCAAAAGAGGTCTGGAGAGGAAGCAGAAATGAAGCGAGCCATGTGTATCAAACGTGAAAAGTCTTTCACCTGGCATCTGCATATGCTGCTAATCTCTAGCAATAAAATCTGCAAACCTGAGGTAAAGCATGAAAATACACACTGCAGCGCGTAATTCAGAACAGGCTTGGCTTTTCTACGCAAAATTTGCAGCATCCTTTTGCCAAAAATTTGAGACTGAACCTCTGGACACATACTTGCAATTCTATGGCAATTCAGAGCCATGCATTTGCTCTGTTCCATCCCAAGCACTCCAAGTCACGTCAACAGGGATTCCCCGTGATGTAGGCTTGTATATTGAGCAATAAACCTGGCCTTCGAGGACGGCCACAGCAGTCACAGAGTGAGACAATTACAGTAGCTTCAAAAGAGATCGTGTATTCAGCTCTCCTAATGAAAGCAAGAGTCACAGTGGTATTTTACCAAGGAAGGCATGAAGAGTTCATACCTGTATGCCCCAAGGTTTTAGCTGGACAAGAAAGCAAATGGCAAAAAAAATTAAAAGAAAAAAAAAAAAAGAAAACCCACTCAAGTAGATGATGCTGTTAAGTTTTCAAGACTCTATACTTAAGACAAGCTGGATCTCAAAGCTTGTTTGCTCACGTTTTTTCAAGCTATTATATATATCTGCACTATAAAAATAGTTTGCTTGGGGTTTTTTGCAGTGCACAGAATATCAGTATTCTGAATAAATATGAGCAATTTTTTAACACACAAAATGCAAGATTAATTTAAAAAAATGCAGTAAATTCTAAGTAAGGATGATGATTCTCAGTTTTCCATGCTTAGATGGGGCTTCAGAGATGCCAAGCATTGAGCACAGAAACTTAAATGCTTTACAACAAATCCTTCCATACCTACACAAAATAGAGTTCTGCTAATGACAGTGACAGAAAACGATAGCTACTCTTGTTTCCACTTTGAGTCATTTTTCTGTGGTTAATAAATTATATCCATAACAGTGTTAATAAGTTATGGTACAGTGTCACTGCATTAGTTTGCATTTGTGATGAAGCACTTCATATGGCATTACCTATGCCCATGGAAGTACATAACAGGAGAGCCACTTCTCTGCTCTCAGAAGAATCTCCCATGCTGGCATTTTGACGGACCCTCTAAGGAAACATTGCGTCCTGACCTCTGCCTTGCTCCTACTTCTCACCCCTGTTGCAGCAGCACACCACTGCAGGGCAATTCACAAACTTTAATGCGTTTAATAAAACACAGGCACTCTTAAATCAGTGTCCCTTCCATAGGAGCAATATACAATGAGTTATTAGTTAGGCAAATACAGGAAGCATTCAGATCAATTTAGTCATGTGAAAAGGACACCCTCAGATCAACGTGTCCTCCGTCAAGCTCCTGAAGGAAAACGGGAAGATTTAGACTGACTGATGGGCTCTTGATCAACCACTGTAACAGCTTGTTTTTCCAAAGGTGCAGAATAAATAAAAGTATTTTAAGTTTAATGCGATTGGGTCTTTAAAGAAAAAAACAGAAGCTATCTAAATTCTTGCAACCCAAGTACCACAGCATTGGTGAAGATAGAGATGACAAAACTAATAAGCATGCTTTTTAACACCAGAAAGAAGCTGACAGCTTTAAGTATATTCTTTTACAAATAAAGAAGTGCAAAATGGTAAACAGCCCCAAATCAGAGTTTTGTACTCTGGGGTTTTGGTCATCTCACGCACTAACTTCAAGAGGTGTTATTAGTCAAAAAGCTTTTTGTTCATTAAAATTCTTAGATAAAAATTCAGTATAGTTTAAAAACAACTTTTAAAAAGAGTGTAATTATTGAATTGTCTCCAGTACCATGACACTGTCTCTAGTGAAGTATTCCTTTTAAAAACTTTTTTCTGCTTTATCATTGCATCATTTCCATATATACAGAAACTGCTATGTGAAACACAATGTCCAAACAGAAACAAAACATTCCATCTCAATAGAATTTACTTGCTTTCCATCAGTATCAAGTAAAAACTAGCACTATTAGGTTAAAATGGAGAAAAATCCCAAATTATCTGCAGCCTCCATGAGCCAGCCGTGCAAAAGCTCACATGCTTTTATAGTAGGTACGTACAAGATAACTTTGCAGACATATTACTGGAATGGTTTGCAACCAGTGAAGATAATTTTTATTATTTCCACTTCAAAACTTCCTATATTGGAGCCACATCACTGAAAACAATCTAACCATAGGGGAAAAAAAGTGATGGGAAAATAGCTTGCTAATATATCCGCTGGAAAGACAGAGAAAGAGAGTGGTCCTCTATAGATCAACTGAAGTCTTTCAGAGACAAAGATTCCGATACTCTGAGCAAGAGAAAAAAAATCCCTGTAAAAATACCTTGGCTTCCTTAACTTCCTTTTTCCCCTCCCTACCACAACTAGCATCATTTATTTGTATACTGAATTTTTCTGCACTGCACCACAACAAAATACCTTTTAAAATTAAAAAGGTAAAAATAAATATGATGTTCCCACCACAGCATCATTGGACACGGTACTGCGTAGAAAAATAAGTTGCGCCTTCACAGTAATTTGATAAAAGAATGGCAAAAAAGAACAATACACCAAGGCTTGAGGAAAGCACCAGTTCAATATTTAGCAATACATAAATTGAGATTTCATTTTTGTTTAGGTATATTTTGATTAGAACTAATAAATGACTGATTTTCCTTTGGTTGTTTGCAACAACAACACATCATCCAAAGAGCTTTATTCTTTATTCCCTTCTCATATAGCATGCCAAAGACTGTCTCATTTTATGAATTAGCATTTAAAACTACTGTAGGTTATCTAACAAGCATTCAGATTCAATAGTACTTTTGACAGCAGTAAGTAAAGAGCCTTTTAACATCTTGAACACATGTGCTTGAAAAAAGTAGTTGCATCAAAGCAGTTCAAAGACTGAAGACAAAAACCAGTTAAAATCCAGTTTTCTGTGAGACAATTTTAGTGTGGTGTAAACAACCTTTCACGACTCCCCATGGGAAATGTTGTAAGACTATATTCAAAATGAATCAGGCATATTTATAAAGATCATGAAGTGGTCAAATGAATTTGCATTTTTGGCAGATTCACTCCATGGGTACTACTTGCTACAGTCTGTAGAAATCTCAAATCTCACATCAGCGTTGCCTATAGTGCTTTATTATTTATTACATGTTATGCTAAGTACCTGTGAAAGGGGACATTCCTTGGCCAATGAACTCTGGTTCATATCCTTCAGTAAGTCCTTCAGAGCATTTCTTACTGTTGTGTGAGACCATTGTTCAGGAGGCAAGTCTTCTAGTTTAGGGCAACTATTTGAAACACAGATTAGAAAAGGGATTATTACAAGATTGCATCCTGCTGCAGAACATTCCTTTAAGACAGACAGATTTCATTTCGCGCATCAAGCAGATGCATCTGGAGATTGCTCTCGGTCTCCTGATTGTTCCGATTAGTTAATTACTTTATACAACACATCTGCTGTATTGATGCATGAATTATACATCAGCTGCATGTGGCGACTATTTTTTCATGTTACTTCTACCTTCCTGCTCTGATGCGCTTGGTAAAACAATTTAAGGTGTAATGCTTTCTCACGACTGATCATGAAAAGCATTAATATATTAACTGTTTTTTTTTCTTTTTTGTTACCGTGAAATTTAAGAACCTAGACAGCAACAATAAGTGTGAGCAAGTCATTCTTTTACAAAATGCACACAGATGGTATTGTTCATGATATGCAAAGATATTTTTCTCTTAAGTAAACTTTATGTAAAATGCCTTCTTGTAATGCATCATTTAATTGACTAAAATGCAATATAGTTTTAATGAGATATCCAAAAAAAAAAATCTATGTATCAGAGCTATAAAAGTTTTCTGCAATAGTATACTGTAAGTTAAAGAAGAATTAGAGTAACTAAAAATTAATTTAGATAAGCTTTTGTACTTTGAGCACACACCACAGTAGGAATTAAATACAAGCAATATTAACAGTAAGAGCAGACAAGTAACAGTTCATGTCCCAGAACTGGTATGCAACTTACCTGTGTAACTGGATTTTCAGTGTGACCACATGATACACGTCTTGCAGCATGTCTGCTACTGTAGCATCAGGGGCATCTGTCACATAGGAGAGTGGAACTGGATTCCACTTCCCAACCTGGATAAGCCCTGCGGGATTTTTATTTTTTGATGGTAAGGGGAGTGGGCAAGAAGGGCAGGAAAAATTGAAGAAAAAAGTAATTTATCTGTTAATTCTTAGGGGCAAAAGAAATATCTGATTTTAACAAGATCACCACCTTTGTTTCTAGCCTCTTAAATCTGGCAAAACAAAAGAACACCCCCCCAAAAAACCCCCACCCACACACCACCAAGGATATGCTTTATCTACATTATGAAATTATACAAATGCATTACAGTAGAGATTTTTCAATATGTATAGAAGTATATTTTCCTAAGTTCCCATGTATTCAATAGGACATGATATAATAGTTAGCATTCCTCTTAATAAATTAGAAAGGATTTTGCAATGCAAGGACTGAGTACAAAAAAAAAATACTTTGCAGTCTATAAAACCATCAGGAACAAAATAAAAGAAACAGAGCTGGATATTCAGTCATAAATGCAAGTTGACTCTCAACAGTCCATCTGCTCAAATATGCTTTACACTTCCTTGTGGATCCTCAGTGGAGCAGATTATTAAGGTCAATAAGCATACTAATGATTCAGTTGAAGTCTTTTTTTTTCTTTAAACAACAACAAAAAAATTTACCTCCACATTCCCCACGAACAAAACGTGCACTAACTAAACAAAAATACATTAAGGAAAAAAAAAAAAAAGAGAGACAGAATCTGCAAGAAGTTTAAGTAGTAAAACCTGCCTCGCATTCCTGAAAGAAATCCTGCCCCTCCCCCAAGACCCCACAAACAAACATAATTCATCATACAATTTCGTAATCTTATTTACCTTTTGCTTGGGCAGCAGAGCTGTGAGAATATCCGAGTGATAGCAATGCCATTTCAATCAGTTGGTTGAAAAGCATATCCTTCCTCACCAACACAAATTCTGCATGCTCCTCCTTAGAATCATACTCAATGGCATTTTCATAATGTTCCACTACACAGAAAACTGGAAGCATACTTCCTATTAAAAAAAATTAAATTTAATGTATTAAACTTGAGTTATAGTAGAGTAGGTGGGTCTATACAGCGTTATGTAAATAAAACCTGTACAAACAGGCAGAGGAGGCAACAAGAATCATCACAAATATTTGATAAACATATTCCCTGAGTCCTTTCCTCTCACCCTCCCCAAAAAAGAGAAAGTTCTACAAAACATACATCTCTCTGAAAAGCAGAAATGCAAATTTATCTTGCTTGATCGGATACAGATTAAAGAATTACCTTCTATAGAAACAACAAGGTTGACTGAAGAGAAGTTGATTCTCTCTGTCCTGCCTGATTTGTTGTGAGTAGCAGGCAGCATGAGAACCTAAATACATACTGCAGATGTCTTCACTGTAAGCCATTTTAGTACCAGCTACATAATTTTGTTCGTTAACATTAAAACTTTCTTAGTCCTGCCAAAAATATTTAATTGCCTTCACCATCAACAACAAATCACCTTGTGTGTTATACATTCGCTCTGAAAAGAGTACACAAGGAAACAAGGCAAAAGTTAACACTAATTTGTGCTTCGTTCACTGAGTGCACTTGAGCACTACTTTCACTCACATCTTTAAGAAACAAATCATGACTTCAGTGCCGTTTTAAGAAGTGTACCTGCAGTTTGGACTTTTTGTTGTTGTTGTTGCCTCCTGCACTTTACGTTCCACATTTCTGGTATTCGTTGCTATTTTGGTATGCCCGAAAGTAATTACTAATTTCTAGTTTTGTAGCATCATACGACAAACCATTCCCTACGCTGCACAGAATATTAAGCAAATAACCTTTTTCCTTTCCTTTTTTGTTTTTTTTAAAGATTTTTTTCCTCCCTTCTGACAACAGACAGAGAAGTAACAAATGACCCAAGCTGTTTTAGGGACAAAGTCTCTTCCAGCAATCAGATTCCTAGACTTTGTGAAAATCCCTCCTGGCCTCCCAGACGAACACAGATGACATGGTGACCTCGGACCTGAGGTTTTAGGCCCCTGTCCCACTGTCTCCTGCAGCGCAGGTTAGGATCTCTTAATGACAGAAAGCAAAAGGGTTAAAAGCAGATGTACAGAACTGTCTTATGGCAGCCTGCCAGAGGGGTATCATCTTTAGCATAAATGATGACAAGGGTTATTTTAACAGGGCACCCAGGAACTCCAATTAGTCCTACAATGTTAATGCCTCTATAACCACTGCCCTCTAGACTTACGGAAACCTCCTAACGTGCTAAGGTGCACCAGACATGCTGTAGTCTAAAAAGACAATTTACTCTTGACAATAGATAAACGCTTTAAGGCCACGTCTGTTGATTTGTGCTCTAACATATAGCAAGAAATCATGATAAAAAAGATACCTCTTAAGCACGTATGTTTAAACTACATCTGTTCACCAGAGAGTCAATCTCTGGCAAACAAACCCCTTCAGGCTCGCTTGGAAAAGCTCACAAACTCACTCCAGTTTGCCCAATAGGCTCAGCATGAAAGACAAGACTAAATGCTTGCCAATATTTATGTAGTGCAGGAAGGAGCTTTTTTTTTTTTGTCTTTTTTTTTTTTTTTTTTAAATCTAAGTGAGACTGGTCAGGAAGGGAATGAAGACCAAAGCAAAAGCAGTACATGCAAATTGGTGATTTCTTCGTTGGTTTTAATTAAGCTGTGGAGAGCTTTCTTAAACACACACACACTCTTCATCTGCAAAAGGTGGTTTGTTTGGGTTTGTTTGTTTTTTTTTTCCCCTTCCAGGCTCTCACAATTGTTTGACCTACTACCATCTGACTCAGAGTAAGGGCTCAAAATTCTTAAGCAGTTTCACCATTAATACCTGAAGATAAAATGTAAACAAAGCTTCATTTTAACAAACAGTGCAGATACACTCAAAACCAGCTAAAGAGTATTTGTTTTTCCCCTTATCAGTTCCTACAAATTAAGCTCTGATGAGACACAAAACTAGCAATGCACAGGTACTTCGCTGCATATCAGCACACTTTTTGCTGGGTACAAGCTCTCCTGAGTTGCAGCGTTCTGGAAAATGTGGTATTTTAAACATCACAGGAAAACCTCCTAGCCAAATTTTGATGTACAGCGTAGATTATCAGAGGTGGATCCTGGTAGTGTGACACAGGTATCATCTGACTACAAATCAAGCCACTAAATCTTTTAGCAAACTGTCACTAGTGTCCTTCTGTTAATGTGAAAAATGTTATACAGGAGAGCACAATCTCAGCTGGCTGATCACTCCTGCTAGTACTTGGCAAGACCTCCAAGTGCAGCAACTTCATAACCTTCTAGTATTAAAGGGGAGAGCATTGGTCAGCGCTCACTGCTAAAAATACAGCATGATTTAAACCTGAAGGCAGTGTTAGAGCTTTTGCTGAAGGTTTACGAGTCTGTGTAAACAGCACGTCTGCCATAAGGAGCAGTGAAGTCTGTAGAATCCTTGTCTAAAACTGTCCTGGCATTAAAGTTTGCTGTGCAAATATCACATAATACCAGAGACAGCTGAAATCTCCTATTTAGGAATTTATGGAACTTATATGTTTGCAGGCGTCAGAAAGTCCTTTTTATATAGCCCCACTGCTTCACTGTACAATATTAATGCACTCTGCTTGAAAAGCCGTAATAAATTATATTTTTAATGCTCTTACCCTGGCTTTCTTAAGATGCATACATTCTTGGCAAACAATCAATAAATAGGGTAATCATGAGCAGAGGCCAAAGAATTTGCTGAAGTGCTGTTTTTCCATTTTTAATAGATAAAGATCTAACAATACGGACTGCTGTGTCTGTTCATTTCAGGATCAATATATTCTTTGTTTTCGCCAAACCGAGGAAAAAATAAATGATTGTACGATAAATGTTATGCATCAGACACAATGAAATTCCTCTGCCTTCTAACTTTGTGCGTTTAATAGTCTTGGTTGCATTTTGCACTTTGCTTAGCAAATGCAAGACAAATCTGGATTATAAACATACACTGATTATACTAAGAAAAGTAGAGTCTGTTTTAAAACAAATGCCAAATTACATGCAGCATATTTTGATTTAAATTAGCAAGCCTGCAGGACATGGTCAAAAAGACTTACACATTTTGATAAGCAAAATTTATAGATTATTGTCCATTAGAAGTATTTTCAATGCAAACAAAAGCCATCCATATACAAACATCAATGATTCTAAATGTGCCTTTTCCTTGTGTAAATGTCTAATTACAGCAAACCAGCCACTGAAAAATATGACACCCAAGTTGTTCATTGTTCAATAATGAATTGTACTTAAGAAAATAAACTGCGAAGATTGACATCATAAATGACTTTTCCAATGTGATACCTAAAGATTTACACTCTCTCCTTTAAACCAACTTGCAACTGTTATAGAAATACTGCTGCCCGTCCAAGCTTGGACCATCATTAAGAGGAAAGGCGAGAATTTGGTTTGTGGGTTTGGTATTTAGTCTTACATAGTTTTGCGTTTCTTAGCCCAACACTTACTCAAAGAAATAATGCATTATATTACTCCTATTTCAATGTAGGAATTTGCTTTTATCAGGGCAGCTAGCCTTTACCTTAACAAAAATCAGACTCCACCCTGTAAAGCAAGATGCTCCACCCAAGCATGAAGCTTACATTTCCCAAATGTGATTTATATCAGAGTTGGGAATATATAGTATTTTAGAATGGAGATTTAATCCTGAAATATAAATGAAGTAGAGTCTGCAAAAGTATGGTTTCCCCCCCAAATATTATAAATCATATTTCTCTAATGCAGAATTATCAAAAGTGTTACCTTTTCTAATATTAGTTTTCATCAGGTGTCCAGAGTGTTTTAAAGGCACTCCTTGCATTTTAGTTCCTGTACTTCCAAGTCTTCCTCTTCCTAATGGGCTCCCATTCTGTTCCAAGCGCGCAATTTTGGCTGGTGGACCCTTCGGATCGCTTACATTGTTAGACATTTCTGAATGTTCTTTCCCCTGAGTTGCCTCGTTCAAATGATCCATACTCAGTCCCGCCTCTAAAGATCACCTGCCATGATTCAAAAAAAAAAATATATGTTGTACACGTGTGCGCATATGTATACGTACACAGCCTGCACATGTACTGAGAGAGAGATATATGTACCATAAGCTCATAAAGAAGAATAAATAACTATTATAACTGGAAAGAAGATGCCTTTTTTAAAAGAAACAAACTTATTCTCCAAAAATGACCTCATACACCACTTTACAGAGAGATCGCATCATAATCTGATGGAATTATTTTTTAAAAGCCAATGAGAGTACCCCTTTAAAAGAAATCTTCAGAGATACTCTACTAAATCTGAGAGAGACTAAGACTCATATAAAAGATGATGATTGTCAAGTTATGTGCTCCAACACAGCCATTGTTACAAATCTCACAGAAAGGTTTGTTATTAATCCCGGGTGTTTTTATTGTGTTAAGAGAGAGACAGAAAGAAAAAGATTCTAGTGAAATATTTCTCAATCTACTTGATTAAAAAAAATGGATGCACAATAGAGAGATTGTTAAAACTTTAGTTGAAGTAGCAACAGATTTATTAGAGATGTAGAATATCGTCCATTTACAATTCCTCCCCCCCTTAAAAATAAAAAGTTAGAATTTAGCATTTAACTTCGGAAAGCAGTAGTGGAAGATGGTTGCTTTTGAGTTTCCTAAGCAATATTATACAAAGAGTTTATCAACTTTTGCTAAGTTCTGAAAAATTTCATATGCAAATTTTTCAGATGTTAAGCTTTAAGTGTTAAATGGAATAGTTTATTGAATTAAGAAAAATAACCGAGAAGGTAGCATGTCACAAAACATAATGCTGGAAAAAAACCCCACAATTTCTATAGTGCTTTTGAAGCCCTTAAATATAAAAAAAAAACCCAAACCCGGGGTGATGCTAAGTTATGTGCTGGCACAGCTATTTGAAACCAAAAAACAGAAGTAATTTCAATAGCAAAGGTATATGTTAGCATGCTTACATTTCCCTTTTTATAAACTTTCAAAACCTCCGTCCATGAGTAATAATTCCAGTTAAATCACTAAAAATCTCCCAAGCCTAGAACATAGCGGAGTAAGTTTCAAGGATTTTTGTCACTCATCGTAATCTGTTTTGTCAACTATATTAAAAAAAAAAACAACAAAAACCAGTTGCTGAGAATAGAGACATCTTTCTGGTTATGATTTCATTCATCAATACTGTTGTGATTGTTAGGTATTTTACCCTACCTTCCTCTGAGAAAGGTGTGACTACACTGACAATTTTGTTATGTATATAATACAATCACTAAGGACAGGTGACTAGACATTAATTTATGTACCAGTATTTACATTAGCAAGTACAAATACTAACACTGGGGAAGTCATATTTAGAAAGACTGGTGTGAATCTGGTAATTGCTACTTTCTTTCAGTTGCCTAGTAATTCAATACATTTTCTGCACATTACATAGCAAAGCTATTAAAGCCTAAACATCTTGGCATTTTTTTATATACTACTATGTCATTGGTATATATGCCAGTGACAATTCTGTAAACTATTTTTTTCTTGTTTGAACACCATGCTGCTTTTCCCGATATGGTGAAGAATGAGGCAATACATTAATCCGAACATTTACAAGCAACCTCAAGAATGACACTGAATAGCTGAAGTTCAGAAAATCGGGGTTTTTTTCCTTATGCTGTAAGGTGACAGGCTAAGGTTTACCATTCATCTTGATCCCATCTGTTTTAGGTCATGTGTCTCATTAACAGTAAATGTACCTATTTTAGCCACTTTTCGAAAAGATTTTTTTTTCTTTTTTTTTTTTACTGTGTTAACTGCAGCCTAAGCAAAGAAATACAGACCAAACCGTTAACATCTTCCGATGTTTCTGACGATGCTAACATACTATAGGGCTCCTTCTCTGAGACTGGTCTCTCTCAAGAATAAGAGGATTAACAAAAAAGGAAAAAAAAAAGGGGGAGGGGGGGAGAAAGAGTAAAACAAAACAAAACAAAAAAAAGCCTCTAACAAGAAAATCCTTGTCACTTTTGGCAACTTCAGAAGTACTCTAAGGCACTGAGGATCTTTGCTACAAAAAGTATCTAGTCATCATGAGTCAGAATCGCACTACATCATGTACAGTGAATAAAAGTGATAGATCGCAGTTTAGTTAATAGACTGACTACAACCAAAACACCAAATGGGTCATTTTCACTTGGCCTGAGAATACCCACCCATCGGCATCCTTTCACCGCTTAGTCATCTTGTAAAAAGCTTTATGTTACAAAGCAAAATTACATGCACATAAAACACCTAATTTACTCATTTAAACTCCATGCCCAAGGCTAAAGTTCACTGAAACCTCAGTTTGGAATAGTGATGAGCAACAACCAGCGTGGCCTGCCCAGGGAGAGGGTTGCAGGGAAGAACTATGATCTCCGCCGGTTCCAGGCCGAGAGTTTCCCCGGGTTTCGCATTTAGGCATCTTTCACAACTACAAGTTTTCATCACAGGCATCGAGAGAAGAGCACAATTTCAAGGCACAGTTTCCCAGAGACAGCATACACGTACGGGCACACCGCGCAATTTCTGAATGAGAGTTGGTGCGGTATCTCCTTTTGTCGCGATGAACGCCACCGGTATTATATTATTTCTTCCTCTCCTCCTGAATCAGCCCCCTCCCCATGCCTTTCCCCTCCTCTTCCCTCCCTCCCCCATAAAAACCCATAATCACATTTGAGAGAGGCTCCGCACTTATCCGTTCCATATGGCTCTCACAATCCAGGCCAAGCTTTCCCTGTGACCTTTTAAAGAGACAAAGAAGCAAAGTACTTATCTAGAAACAGAAACACTGCAGTTTTCTGAGTGAAATTAGCAAAACCGACCCGAAACTCACCACTTCAAAACTTGACAGCATATAAATAACAAAAACAAAGGAGGTTTCCTTTGCAGCCCGAGCTCTTGAAGAGGAAGAAGTTCAAGACTGATGTTTTCTAGGTCCCCCCCTTTTTGGAGGGGGGTAGAGGGGGGGCAGCAGACCTGAGGACTACTTCCCCTAATATTCTCTTATTTTTTCTTTTTTTCTTGTTGCTATTTTCCTCTAGGCGGGGAGGGGCAAAAATAAATAGCGAGAAACAGAGTAGCCATGAGCAAAAATGGCAATGGACAAAAAATACAGATTAAATATCTTTTGAGAGCGCCAGTTTTCGAGGTTTAGCAACGGAAGGAGCTGAAGATCAAATTGATCAGACAAGTGCAACGCTCAAAACGAGGAATTCATAATAATAATTAAAAAAAAAATACAGTAGCAGGTTTAAATTGAGGTGGAGGGTGACTGAAGTCTAGCTATCCTTTCAAAAATAAAACCAATGCGTACAAGAGCAAGTGAGAAAGGGGGTTATTAAAAAAAAAAAAGCAAAGGGAAAAAAAGGCAGCTTTTCTATCTAGTGTGAAGAGCAGAAAGTCTACTTCTAGGTTGTCACTTACACTATTATTCTCCAATAGGCACCCAGAGGAGCAGCACACACAGAAGGAGCCCGCTCCCCTCCCCCTCCGCAAAAATACACACCGTAACAGCCCCCAAACTTTCTGCGGAAACCTCAGCCCCAGAGATCGCTACTGGAGATTAAAAAAAAAAAAAAAAAAAAAAGGGTAGAGAAAATTGCAGGAAAAGGCACTAAAATGCCACTTTTAATCTCGCCTTTGCGGTCCGGGGAGGGAAAAAGAAAAAAAGAAAAAAAAAAAAAGGCAGAGAGGACCTGTCTCCTCTCATTTACCGGGGGCTGTTGTGCGAGTGAGGGGGGAGAGAGGGAGCGAGAGAGGAGGGGAGAGAGAAAAAGAACAGAGGGGAGGAAGGAAACACACACAACAAGGCACACCACCACCACTACAAAAAGTGACGAGGTTTCACTCCCTCCGAGTCCAAAACCGGGAGAAATTATAATTTAAAAAAAACCACCCAACCCTATTTAAAAAAAAAAAAAGAAAAAAACCGACAAAAAACTGGTTCTGTTTCTGCAAAGGAAAAAAAAAAAGAAAAAGAAAATCTGGGAACTCCGAGAAGAGTTGCTCGCAAGAAGGGGTAAAAAATATAAAATAGAAAGGTTGCAAAAAAGCCAACAACAACAAAAACCAAGCCAGCAAAAAAAACAATAATAATTGAAAAAGAATAATAATGGTAGGCTTTGTTTTTTTGTCTCTTTTTTTTTTTTTTTTTTTTTTTAATTCTCGTTTCCCCTGGCTGGCCGAGTATGGTTGTTATTTAGGCCGGTTTGGTGGTTGTTGCTGGATGTTACATGGATATATGTGTGTGTGTGTGTGTGTGTCCCCGGACGGAGCTGCCTTGCCTTGCTCTGCTCTCGCTCTCTCTCTCCCCCCCCCTCCTCCTCTCTCTCTCTCTCCCTCTCTCTCTGTTTCTGTCCCCATTAAATTATTAGTTGACTCATCACTACTCCTCCTCCTGCTGCTGCCGCCGCCGCCGTCCCCTGCTCAGAGCCTCCTCTCCTCCTCTCCGCTACCGCTCGCTGCCGCTGCTGCCGCTGCTTCTTCTTCCTCCTCCTCATTTTAATACAAAATAACACCGAGGCCACCGGCTTTTTTTTTTTTTTTTTTTTTTTTTTTTTTTTTTTTTACATCCCGAGACGGGAGGAGGACGCAGCCTCCCTGCTGCTGCCCGGAGCCCTTCCCCGGCGGCCCCGGATCATCCGACGCGTCCTGGGAGAGAGAGAGAGAGAAAGTGGCAGAGGAGGAGGAGGAGGAGGAGGAGGAAGAGGAGGTGGTGGTGAAGGAGAGAGGCGTGGGGGAGGGGAGGCCGGAGCGGG